ATTTAAAAATAAAAACTCTGAATGCAAACAGAAGCCAAAAGATATCCTACCACCAGCATTTATGGGGATGTTCCAAATCATCTGAATAGTACGGGTGTGTGAAACGGGTCATATTCAATTAGGATTCAGCCTGAATCGGGGACAGTGATTCGATTTGTTGATTTGGAACACTGTCCCAATTCGATTCGGCCAAATCCGAATCTGAAGATTCAGTGCTGATTTGGAGAATCAACGATTCGGCCATAGACACAGCTTTAAGTGTTTTTTCTACATACCTTGAGGTACCAGGTGTGGCTCATGATCGCTGTGATACTGGGGCAGATAGAGTGTCCCGTCAGAGCGTAGGCCCTCCCCTGCCCCCTGCCGTGCACTCGGCGGCAAACCTGGAAGTGGACTGGATACTTCTGGCCCACTTCCGGGTCTGCTGCTGACCACGCAGGCCCCCCTCCCCTCCGCTCAGTGATCAGCTGCAGGGGGACCCTAGGTGCCCCCCAGACCCAGGAGGCACCAATCGCTGAGCCAGGAGGGAGCTGGGGGGGCCCCCAGCGCACTCCCCGGCAGACCCAGAAGTGGACCAGAAGTGCTTCTCATCCACTTCCAGGTCTGCTGCTGAGCGCACTGGGGATCCCCTGGCACTCCTGTGGGATGCTCTATCTGCCCTACCATCACAGCATTCATGAGCCACCTGGTATCTTAAGGTATGTAGAAAAAACATTTAAAGCTGTGCCTATGTCTGAATCATCGAATCTTTCTGAATCGCTCAAAATCAATTCAGAGGATTCTGATTCAATTTGGAGATATTAAAGGGTCTCCTGATTCAATTTAGAGAGTTGGTCACTGAATCAGGCTGGACACTAACCTTGGTCTTGATGGAAGGGGCTTGGAGCAGTGCATCCTGGGATGCTGGAGGACTGTAAATTGCTCATTTTATTTCCATGGAGCTGATTGAATTTACCCTAAAATGAGTTAGGTAGCAAAGCCCAGAGTTAACCCTTGCCTGAGGTGGCATAACTTTGAGACCTTCAGAGGGTACTTAGCATGAGTCAAAGACTTTTAAGACGCTGTATAGATATTCATGCTTTATGTGCCCTTAGTAAGTGTAATGTGTAATTTTACCCTTAAGAGGCCAGGAACGATTGTAGCTAGAAGCAGATAGTTTTTCTTTCACGTGTTTCTCACACACAGTGAGGATCATTTAAATTAGGCTGAGATACTGCTCTTAGCTCAAAGTACGGATAACACCTAACAGCACTGTCCAAGAAATTGTCTAGAGTAGGAACTGTGATCCTAGAGTCAAATTTCCTTCTCTTTTACCCATTTTCTAAAAAATGTAGTGATCTATTATTTGATCATACCACTAGCAAATTCTCTCTCTGCAGCTGCTCAGCTCTGCTGGCTGGCATGCTAACAATTAGTGGTTAGTGGTTATGCTCACACACTCCCTCTGCTATCCAAATTTCCACCCACATCTATGAAGGAATGGGCACTATCCCCATGGAGTGTAATGTCTCCACTGAACTTGGATAAGCAATATGAGGAGTCCAGGAAGACACAGAAAGGGTGTGCCTTATGCTCATACTTGCCTCTTCATGGATGTACAGTGTTTAATTATCAGAAAGCAGCAGCCTGATAGTGTTGTAGGAAAGACATCTTCACTGACTCTGCAAGGTCAGTGTTACATGAAGTGTTACGCAGTTTGAGGACTGAATACAAGGAAGATATATATAGAGGAAAAGGAGCAAGGTACATAGGAAGTACAGACCATTCAGGTTTCAGATATCTTGGCCTCTGCATGTACTGCTGATCCCCTAACAACAAATTTAACCTTCCTTCTTCAGTTGCACTCGTTATACTATATGTAAGTCAAATGAACACTTATTCTAAATACTAAAGTATTTATTTGATGCTCAATAAGAATAAGTAAGCCTACAATTGTCCATAATGCAGAATTCCTCATTGTTTAAAAATGCATTTAACATACTGTCTCCTAGGAAGCTAATTGTTATGAATATTATATATGCCATTGCATATATAATGCATTTATGCATGTCTATCCATATTTTCTACATCTTGGTTATACTTGTATTGTACTACATAGATCAGCTATTTGAGAAACAAGATATGACAGGGAATGAACTGTGTTCCAAACAGCTGTATCATTATCATGAATGCAAGGCATATATTGTATCAGCATACTGCCAAAAATGGTAATATGTCAAAGAACTTAAAAAAAAAAAATAATACAAAAAGAACATAACAAAAATTGGAACATCTGAGCACAGCTACATTCTATTTATAGGTATCAATACACTAAAATATGTAAATATTGAAGATAGGAGTAAAGTCTTCCAAACTGATCCATTATTAAAATGTTTTTCACCATTAACTTCAGAATGTCTTTTGATTAAATGACTTGATTTTCAAGACAGTCAAGTAAACAGACAGAAAAACAAAACAGCCAGGCAAGTAAACTCCCTTCTGTTGTCTGTCACAATGAAATGATTTTTATTTCCCTGAATGTGAAGAATGCTTTGAATATAAAATAGTTGACCTTGCTAGTTGTGTGTGGGAACCCTTATATATAATATAGGTATAGTGCACCTATATTAATTTTTACCTATAGTGTTTTATAGGAAGTCTTGAAATATTTTAAAATTCAGGACTAAGTTTCTAATATAAAACAATGGAAGTGTTTGATTTGTTACTGTCTTTCTGACTTAGTTAACCTTTTCGGATGAGGTACCAGAAGAGAGAAATGTTGTATTCTGTTAAAGAAACTCCCATCAATAGCTGAATTCAAGACTTACATCCTTCAATATATGGATGTTTGCTCTCGTTTGAAACCTTTGCAATAGCTATCCATCTGCTGGGCTCAATTTATACACTCATGGGTGAGTGCCAGTATATGGACTCTAATAGACCATCAGCTGAAAGTGACCCAGAAGAGATGACCTGATTGCTGTCATTGTCCCCCAATCTTTCCCCACCCCCCCACCCAGGGATCATGAACTAGGACACTTATACTTGGACTCTCCCACACCCCTGCAATTGTACCCCACATGCTAGTATATGTACCTGTACTTGTGTATGTTTCTTAAAACCCACCACTCTTTAACAATGTGGCTTCCTTGTACAAGGCACTTTGTATTTTCTTTTCTCTGTACATGTTGTGCCTTTTAGCTCCCCATCCTCCACCCAAACCCACCTCCAGGCTAAGTAGGCTACATCCTTACTATATAACTTAGTTGTTTCCTTCCCCCAACCCTGTACTATGTAGTCACCCTTGTCCAGATATTTGTATTTTCTCCTACCGCTTCAATTCTGTAACTACCCTTTTTAACATTCACTAATAAAGTTAAAGTTATAGGCTGAGGAATGGCCCTTGCATTCTAGGCATTTTGTGGCAATGAGGTATTGCTTTTGTGTTTTCTACCTAGTTCACTCCTTGGCTTTTTGACTAGGAGCAAGTAAAACTAGGGGGCCTCTGAACTCCAAGGCTTCCAGACCTGGTGCTTGCACGTAGGATGCCCGCCATGGATTGGGGAGTATCTGAAATCCTACACTGATGGGTCTGGGAGGAAAAATACTTGTCAGATGGTAGAGCCAAACAGATTTAATGACTGCATTTGGCTCAGTAAAATTTTGGAATTTGACTCTTGGGCTTTGCTCAAGTGAATTTGGAATTTATTAGACCCTAGTTTATAATGTTCTAACAGTAGGAAGGGGACACATTCAAGGTAAACATCCAATAATTAGATTCTATACCTAGAATATTATAACAAATTAAATTTTCTATATATAGAAGCTAATTATTGGAGGAGGGGTCATCTTATAATCGGCATTGTCTTCTATTTGAGTAAATATGGTAATTCTTTTAAAATAAAAATATGTACAATATTTTCTTGTGGAAAGTACTCTTGCTATCTGACACGAGTACTACCTGGTACTTTGTAATGCCTGGCTATGGCGATAAATTGATTTTTTTCAAACGTTTTATGAATAGATAAGCCTGACAACCTGGTTAAATGATGCAAAGGGACAGATCACCTGCAAATTTTGTTTTTCTTTTTTCTAATTTACATGAAAACATTATAATTGTTAGTCAGAGGTTATATTTTTAAGTGCATAAAATTTTGTTCCATGACATGCAAATCACTAGCATCTGCTGTTACTCATCATCATCACTTGTATTAATAATTTGTGTTAATTGGAACACCTGGAAACCTCTACCAAAATAAAGGCCCCACTGTGCTAGCTATTATACAAACACATAAAATAAAAACTTGTTCAGAGAGCTCGCTAACTAAAAATAGAAGGAAAATCAGAGACATAAGGAAATGGATATATTTTTCAAGTGTCACACACAGCAGCTCATTGTCAGACCTGAGAATAAGTTTAGTTCACCTGAGCCACGGTACAGTATCCTATATGCTAGAATGCACTGCCCATCTATCTCATCACCTCTCAAAATGAGTCCCCTAGTTAGCTAACACAGGGTAAATTATTCACTTAAAAATGTAAGCACATTACCAAAAATCACAGTTATTCTAGCTGCTGTTATTTTAGCCTTGAAACTAATGCAACAGATTTACATAGATTTAACTGGGCACCCAGAAGTTAGCCTCTATAACACATATACCATCTGCTCAAGAAAAGGAGATGAAAGACAGAAACTTTAAGTAGAACATACTATGAAGGGCTCCCTGACATCTGCTATTCCTTGCATACTGACAAGACACACAGTACAGTGTTTTATTCAAGTCCCTATGGCAAAGTGGCTGCTCATCTACATGGCAATTCTAGAAGTAATTTTCACCATTAGTTTTACAAAATGATAAAAATGTCCACTGTAAATCTTAGGAGTCCCACTGGGGTTCCTGACAACTGATAAACTGAAATGGAGAAAAAACAACCAATGCAAATGGAAAGCAATTTGCATGAACTCTGGTCAATGTGAAGTAAGCTAATGGACATGCCAATTTATTTTTAAAGCTACTTGCCTTGTAAACTGTAGATTTCTCCAACGCTGTTCTGCCTGGTAATATGATGCCAGTATGCACTACGAGGAAGTGAAATTGACTTCGATAATGTCATGGGTTCAGTCAAACTGGTCTGGAGCTAAAAGACAAAGCAAACATCAGTGGCAAACCATCCACTAAAGCATCTGACACACGCATTTCAGTGTTTTGAAAATGGACACGAGTTACCACTAAAATGTACATGATATTGAACTGTCACAGATTGTGCATTGTAATTTACACATATATCAGTGCTATAGTTGGACTGCAGATGTTCAGGGAATTAAAACTCACAAGAATTTTTACATAATGAGGTTTATTAGGGATTCTTTTTTCTGATTATGCTTGAGCCAAGGGAACTAATGGACAAGTTAAACAAGAGATCAGATAAACATTACACAAGTATATTGAAACCTTAAAGGAAGAAAGATTATCGTAACACAAATAAGTTAAGAAGCAATTCCAGTGATGCTTCCCCCCCAAGATCTCTAACCTAATAAGGAAAACAACTAAGGAAAATAGGAGATCTATCTCCTATTTTCAAATTACCATCATATGAAATAAGTTAGACATGTTTGGAGATGGCAATTCACGTTTTATGAAAATATCATCCCCTGGGACAGAACACTTTAAATATTTTTCATTTGAGTCTGATGCTTAAAATATAAACAGATATCTTTAATTGGTGACAGCAATGCCAATTAGTGATGTTAATTAGTCCATAAAGCTAATCTTACTAATTAGCACCCTCTTATTAACTGTAGTCCTGTCCTTTCTCCTTTCCTTTTTTTGTAATTTTATTTTAAAATGCACATGCTGGGTCTAATCAAAAGATAGTCAGTGACAGAAAATATATTTTCAGAAGTCATTTGCACATTAATATTGTAGAATTCACAGAAACTAGGTAAACCTACTCGTTGATACTTAATTATTTTATGGAAGGCTGGTATACATCAGATTAGTTATATGTCCAGTGTCTCTATTTAAAACCAGTTTGTAAAGAAAACAGAAGTCCCAATGCATACATAGCCACTTATGTGCAGACTAGTAGAGCTATTTTTTCCCTAAACGATTACTGACTGAGAAAGAATGTAGCAGATATAGATCTACAGCTGGGAGACTCATTTTCCCTAAATGCAAGTGAATCTTCATGAGGAAACACAACATTTAAACAGCACTCAAAATCAAGCTTGTCATGAGAGAAAGGACAGTACTATTTAACTACACAAACATTCATCTCAGTCTTAGCCTTTTCAAGCTTTTAGAACAGTGGAACAGTTCACAATGGGCAAGTTCATAGGATTAGGCCAAGATACATAGAAAGATTTAAGTTCCCAAGTGGGATTTAGGTGAATGTAGACATTAAAGTCCAACAGGGCAAAAACTCCTCAATACCTCTTTCCAGGGTAGAGACCCAGAATGTTACAAACGTGGTGCAGAAGCAGCAACTGATGTTGCAGAGGTGGCTGCAACCCTGTTACCAGCTTTCTCTCCCCCCACAACTAATCCCCACTGGGGTGGGCAGACTGCACCACAGGAGTAGCAGCTTGAACCTTTCTAAGTTCTGAAGAAGATAAGAATTCTCCCTGCTCCTTTTCCCTCCCTGCTTAGAGGCACATCCCCTTCCCTCCCTGTCTCCTCCCATCTCATTCTCTCTCCCCTGCCTGCAGCTGCAGCTGCTGGTGTCTCTGCTGTCCTGGGGGTGAGGGGAGTCACTCCAGCAAGATGTGCAAGGGCTGGGCTCAGGCTGGGACCATGGTAGAGGTGGTGGAAGTGACAGGTGGATTCCCCTTCACTGTGCCTGTTCCCCCTGGGTGTTCCCCACCAGCCTGGGACCAGGCACAATGATGGGGAATATGCTCACTTGCTGCTGCTGTCCTGTGCTGGTTAGAAAATGGTATTTAGAGGTTTGCTTTTTGGGAATTGGCTTGTAGGTAAAGTAGGTATTGCATTAGAACAATGGTCCAGGGTAATGGCAAGGGTTAATCGATTTCTAAAAGCCTGTTTGTGGCAAAGTCTCTTTCAAGGCCCACTGTGTCTGACACAGGCAAGCAACAAACAGACGCACACAGGATGGAAAACTGAAGACATGTACCACACTGTTCCATAACAGAGATAAGGGGCTCTGCCATCTTGGCCAGATCACAGTCCCCAACTGCAGGGCCCTTAAGTTTTCCAGTTTCTGTAGATAGACCAAATTAGGAGAAACTGGAAAGAACCAAGTTTGGATGAATGCATGTGATGGGTTTGTGAAACAAAGAAATATGCTGAGAGGACAGAATGTGGACAGTATGACAACCACAGGAAGACCAATCAGTGATGCCCAGAGACGAAGAGTCATCACAGAGGGAAAATGATACAAAAGGAGGGATTTCAGAGCAGCAAACGGTTCCCAAGAAGACCACTGAGGACAGAGGGCACACCACCAGCCTGTCTCACCCACCCCACTGAAGGAGGGAGGAGGTAGGCTTCAGCCTCTAACCTCCAGGTTGCTGACATCTGACATTCAAGAGAGAACCTCAGAGTGAAGCTCACGTACTTGCCAGATGTACCTTGACTCTGTGAACCCTGGGACTCATAGAATAGTTTGCATTATTCTTATCTGCTACCACTGTGTATCAACAAAATTCACCTATTATCAAATGGAGAGGTCGTGGTCAGTCTGAGGGTTTGGGTACCGGAACAAGGTGTCTGGGTCATAAATCCAGTGCCAACATACTGGGCTGAGCCCAGCCCCGACACATCCCAGAAGGATTGGTTCTGGTGCTCCCCTTGCTCCAGGGACAGCAGTGGTAGGTAATGGAGGGGGGCATGGGAAGGCAGAGGATGGGAGGGGAAGGGGGACATGTGCCTCTGAGCACAGAGCAGGTAATTCTTACCTTCTTTGAAACTTCTGCTGCTTCTGCTGCATGGGCAGAAAAAGGAGTGCATAACCACACCATTGTACCCTCTCTAGATCCACCACTGCCCCTTCTTAACTTCTCAAATGGCTGTATTTTCACCAGTGAAGTTCCACAGGCATCAAAAGCTTTGCTTCAGTATATTCAGAACTGCTTTAACCAAACTGCAATAGTTAGTCTGGGTATTCTTCTACCTAAGTTTCTTGAAGAGTCTTTGGTTTCTCAGAACAGCAAAAGGAACAAGCACTGTACAAAACAGCAGTCATTGCTTTCATTGAGAAGCAGTATTGCCCTTAATAGTTTTATGTAATAACTCACTCTACTGGAAAATCTCAGACTAAAGAGTATCTCTGGACAAAAAAAATTTGAGGGGTTTTTTTGCAAAAGGTCATATCAGTAATTGCAACTCCTATGTTTCTTTGTAGATCTAACCGTTAATACACACATTTAACTCAGTCACTTCCATACAAGTGATTTCATACCTAGCTATAGAAGTAATTACCTTTTCTTTGAAACCTTCCAGAAGGTTGTAGACAATGTCTTGCCTTTAAATTATTTATTCTGTCTGTTTTTAGTTTCTCAGAAACCAACATTTTCTGTTAGCTTATGCTTAGGAAAATGTCTTGTGTTTCTGAATCCTTCTACCAGTAATTAATATGTATGCTCATTTGGGGCAGCAGAATATGGCAGGTACATTTTACATGAGGTTTTTGAATGGAACTTCACTGGGGTAAAATAAAATAGTGAAATAGTAAAACTGGTGAAATAAAAAGGGGGAAGGTGAACTTCACTTCTGTTTAAGAGCTATACAGTTGTACACCACAGGGAAATTAAGATCAAAATATGACAAGATTTTCTGCCTGGTATATGTGCAAATCAAAGACAGTACATAGGGGTTACAATTAGGAGAAGGAACTAGACTGTATATTTATATGGAAAAACCGATATACGGTACAGAATTCCATTACCCTTTGTGCGCCTAAACGGCACTTACCTAGTTGCCTAAGTGGTATTTTTGGCACTTATTTATCATTTGTGATATTACCCACACAGCTTAGGCACAAGTATTTATTCATATCCTGAGCGTGCACAGTTGGCTATATGGTAGCTGGGCAGGTATGCAGTTATATAAATACATATATAGGTGTAAGGCTTGGACCAAAACAGGCAGAGGAGGAACCTCCCATGTGTTAATCTTAGTAGTTGAGTGATTAGGGTACTTGCTCAGGAATGGGACATACTGGTTCAAAACCCCTCTGAATTCAAGCACCCTAACCATTCAGGTACTGGAGCCAAACATAGGAGACTTGTCATCATCATTGTCTTCCTCCTCCTCTAACACCTACTATAATGGGATATTTTCAGACTACAATTCTGTGACTTACACTCATCAATGGGTGTGCTAACATATCTACCCAGCTGCCCAGCCAGTGCTTAGCCTACTAAGTATTGTCAGTATATATACATGCATGTATGCATCCAGACTACCCAAGTAATAGAAAGTAATAGAATCATGAATTCATTTAAGTTCCAAAAGATCCATTTATTCAGCTGGAAAACTGCCATCTAGGTGCACAAAGGGCAACAGAATCCTACCCATAACTTGACTTTGTTTTCTTCTTATTATTCCCTTTTCTTCTAAGCATTGATTCCTTCAATTTTCTAAATGAACATATTCAATGCTTAAAATTCTTAAATTGACATAGGAGAGAGGCACCAATTTTTGTGGGTGATATATTTATTGGACCAGCAGCATGGTGAAGATAGACTTAGACAAGCTTTTGTATACAATGCATTCATCTTTAGACCTGAGAGAAAAGACAGTACAGTGGAAGAATAAAAACAGTTTGTAGGGTGATTTAGTTGTGCCTGCTTTTCTCTAGACCTTTAAGAAGAATGCACTGCATTCAAAAGCCTGTCTAAATCTATCCTAACCATGCAGTTGGTCCCATAAAGATATCACCCACAAAAATCCTTGCTTCTCTCCTCTTTCCTGTACTGTCACAGCTACCACATCAGCACTACTTAAACTGACATAGTTATAACAGTGCATTTTTAAAAAAATGTAGAAAAGTCCCAAGTTTCCTCAAAAAATATTTTACTATAGTCAGGTCCATTTGTGACCGCAGAAGGGTATTTTGTGCCTCAAAGCTTTTCTAATAGCTTTCTCAACTATATAGTTGGTCCAATAAAAGTTACA